TAAATCCCCCCTTATTAACTACTACCCCCCCCCCCTTTCTCCACTTAACTATTATTTTAAATTGGTGGAGGTTTAGGCAAAATGAGAAAACCTTAGCAGCAGGCAGCAGTGTGGGTGAAATCTGTAACGGCAGATATCTCATGTGGTGGTAAACCCCCCCGTGTTATTACACACCAGTTTTTATGGAAATCCATTATAAGTACATTTCACAGTTACACTTTCAATAAAATATCTATTATAAAAACGCTAGCATAGAATTCATCCCGCAGAATTATTATGTATATTGGTACTTACGTAAATGAGGATTAATCGGAGCTGTAAAGAAAGGAAAAAAAAAAGATGAATACCATGTGTGAAAACCAACCCCATTCATCTCAAACTATTGGGCTATGCATTTTCATTTATACGATATAGAAATCCATAGACTCATCAAGGTTAGGTGCTGAATAGCTGCATTCCCGCTACCATTATTGTAAACAAAAGAGAGCTAATAGAATGGAATAGAGTGAAAAATTATCTGTGACCAGGCTATAGACATTCAAGTATTTACATAATCTTAACAGGCAGCAAATTAATATAATAAAAAGCCCTAACTGACTCTTATATTTGCAGTCACTGTGGAACAATTCATCCGCAAAATCCCCTGCAAAAACAGTGATGTAGGCTCTCTAAAGAAGGTAAGCTCACCTTGCTTCCCCTCCCAGGGAACCTGCTTCGTGATCAACAGACTGTCAGGCTGCCAAATAGAGATATACGATTTGTTTGGTTCTGAATTGAAATTCAAACACATTTTTGGAAACTCAGACATTCGGATGCATCCGAATTTCCGAATGAAAAAACGTTGAATTCAGAATTCGAACGTATCCAAATTTTCCAATGATGAAATATTGTCTGCATCCAAATTTTTTTTGGAATATCATTCAGAAGGAACTTGTGTTGTTAAAAGTTAAAATTTAAAAAAAAGCATGGAGTCCCCTTTCCAATTAATACCAGATGCCCTTTAGGTCTGATAGATTGGGCAAGAAGACTTTAATAAAAGGCATTTACTACCTGTCTTGTTGCTGATATGGGTTTTTGAAGCATGCACAGTTGGCAAGAGGGGTTGTTCATAGTTTGCAATACTGCTTTATTTTCTGGGGTACTACCCTAGGTCCAATGAATGCTGCATCTATGTAAACTTTCCTCAGACAACTGTATGTACATTATATGGGCAAAAGTTTGTGGACACCTGACCATTCCAACTATAAGGGCATGTTGACATCACATTCGAAAACCTTTGGCATTAAGATGAAGTTGCAACCCCCC